CTTATTCTTAATAAGTGTCGTAGCCCTAACCTCAAACTACCTGTTCGAAAACTCTCAAATCGTAAAAAGTTATTGCTTTAAATCGATACAAATAAGTGAAACTAGAAGACCCTATGCATTTTGGGGCCGATTTGAATATAGTTATGGCCTTTCATGGCTATTTAAAAGTTGTTAAACAGGTAAAAAGCGAGGTTACGAGACGCCACTGTTTTTAATCTAGCTAAACAAAACTTTGTAGAAGTTTAAGCTAGTTTGAAGATAGTTTCCAGAGAATTCCTAAAGGAATTTATAAGAATTTTGAAGAAGTATCGAAAAGTTGAGGAGGATTCGGCTGGAAATTTTGAGCTTATTTCCAAAGAAACTCGGAGTAGTCTTCCAGAAGATTCTAAAGAAATTTCGAAAATTGCAAATGATGTAAAAATGTGATTTGTTTCCAAGTCTATCAACGCTTGGGAAATAGAATACGTTGAAGGTGTATATGAACCACTCGTAGTACCTCATGTATTACGATAATCATTCATACGTCGTGCTTGTGAAATGCATTACTCATGTCTATGGAGTTCGTAAGTATCTTATGAAATCAGAATTGTCCGGATTCATAAGTCATGTCTTATGGAATTCTTAAGACTTTTTTAGGGAACTCCTAAAGTGCTCTGCATAAAATTCCAACTTTTATGGACAAAATCTCTGGACGCTAGTAGGACAAAACCATAAGACTATTCAGAGGAATCCTGCTTGAAATGATCCTAAGGAAATCCTTGAGAAATAGGTATCCTGAGATAAGTTTCAAAGAAATAATTTAGTTGAATGTTCGATTCCACACACAGAAATGTAAGATCCAAGATTAACAAAAATTGTCAATATTCTGAGACTTCAGTTGAGAACAAATTTCAAGATCCTGGTCTTCAAGAAAACTTGTCAAGATTATGGGGCTGGATTCATAATTGTAAGATAAATATTTGATACATCGAATTCGCAATTTTCCGCAATTCCAACTATGTTAGTCATTGTGATGATGGCTCTGTAACCAGGCATGGAAAAACATTTACATTCATTTCATGCAATCATTTACATTCATTTGCCTTTAACTTTTTTCATCAACAGCAATCCGCAAAATGATGTATAGAGCTTTAGTATGTTTTGTTATTAGCTACAAATTTTGCCCATGACTCAAATCTGTATCTCTTATGCATCACGAATTAGAGCGAGCAGAACTTGTTACTGTTTTTCAGTGAATGTAAAATACATTCACTGAAAAACAGTAGTGGCTTCTGTTCGCTCTGGTTCGTCATACATAAGAGATAAGGATTTGAGTTGCTGACAAAAGTTGTAGCTAATAACAAAACCTACAAAAGCTCCATACATCATTTTGTGGAATTCTGTTGATGAAAAAAGTTAGGGGCAAATGAATGTAAATGAATGCACGAAATGAATGCAAATGATTTTCCATGCCTGTCTGTAACTCCTAATCCTGGAAACCCGGAACGCGCCGTAGAAAGCCACATGGAAACCCCCAATCCGTCTCAGTCCTGCCATCAGCAGCCTTCGTTCATCAAAGTCGTTCCGGACCTGCTGTCGGATGCGGAGAGGGGGTCTTCCAACCCACTGACTATGGCGAGTATCCAATGAGACTTGATGATGGTCAGTTATTGCCTGATGTATCTGTGATTTCCAGGGAGAGCAGTCGTTCGATTCCTTGCCGCAAGCAGGACGTCGTGATCTTCTACCAAAACGCCGGTGGAATGAATTCTGATGTTGAAGAGTACCGCCTAGCTGTATCGGATCGTTGCTACGATATTATTGTCCTGTGCGAAACGTGGCTCGATTATCGAACGCTTTCCAGTCAAGTCTTCGGTCCTGACTACGAGGTCTTTCGTTGCGAACGGAATCCTAACAACAGCCGTAAATCTACTGGTGGAGGTGTCCTTGTAGCTGTCCGTAGCGGGTTGGAGGCAAAGGCCATCGAGAACGATTCATGGAACTATGTGGAGCAGGTTTGGACAGCCATCAATCTGGGTGATCGCACACTATTTCTATGCGCTCTGTACATTCCACCCGATCGAGTCCGCGACAATGAACTCATCGATACTCACTGTTGGTCAGTTTTCACAGTTGTCGAAAGTTCCACTCCAGTTGATGAGATATTCATTTTTGGTGACTTCAATCTGCCAGGCGTTTCGTGGAGTCCATCTCATAGCGGATTCCTGTATCCAGATCCTGATAGCTCTACATTTCACGCAGGAGCTATTAGCCTTCTCGACAACTACAGCGCAGCGACGCTTTCTCAAATTAACCATGTAGTTAACGAAAATGGTCGTAGTTTGGACCTCTGCTTCGTGAGCACACAGGACAGGGCTCCTTGTGCACTAACTAAGCTAGTTCCACATCACCCTCCTCTAATTGTCAGCGTTGAGGACAAACTCGTGCGTGATTTCGGCGACTATACTGCTACGGTTTCTTATGACTTCCGTAAAGCTGACCACCGTAGCATCATAGATGTGTTGTCTAGCAGAACATCCTTGATCCAGATGACGTTGAGGCTGCAGCGCAAACCTTTTCACATGTCTTGGCATATGTCATTGACAGACACGTCCCGAAAAGAACCCACCACAAAGTGTCTCACCCTCCCTGGCAGACGAGAGAGCTACGTAGGTTGAAGTCAATCAAGAAAGCAGCATTGAAAAGATTTACGAAGTATCGCACGCTTCCTCTGAAACTACATTATGTGAGGCTGAATCACATGTACCAGCGAGTCAGTCGTGAATGCTTTTCAAGTTTCCAGCGAGGCATCCAGGGCAAACTTAAGCTACACCCGAAATCCTTTTGGAACTACGTGAACGAGCAACGCAGGGAATCCGGCCTCCCATCGTCTATGGAATTCAACGGAGAAGTTGCTGCCACTGTTCAGGATATATGCCACCTTTTTTTCCGAAAAGTTTGCCAGTGTATTCACTAATGAGACACTAACTGACGACCATATTAACCTGGCTGTCAGGAACGTTCCAGTAAACGATCAAACGCTGGGTGCAATTGATGTTAATGCAGAAATGATTTCTAAGGCCGCGACTCTGCATCCTTCAATCCTGGACCTGATGGAGTTCCATCTGTATTTTTGAAGAGACATATTGCTAGCTTGTTAATTCCGCTTCTTCGCCTGTTCCGAATGTCTCTCTCAGGTGGCATTTTTCCATCTTGCTGGAAATTTGCGCACATGTTTCCCGTCCACAAAAAAGGAAGGAAACGAGCTGTGGATAACTATCGAGGAATTATATCGTTAAGTGCCGTTTCGAAGCTATTCGAGCTAGTGATTATGGAACCGTTGCTGTTCCATTGCAAGCAGTACTTGAGTGCTGATCAACATGGGTTTACTGTCGGCCGCTCTACAACTACCAATCAGCTGTGTCTCACATCGTATATAACCGAAAGCATGTCGGATCGGGTTCAAACGGACGTTATTTATTCAGACCTATCCGCAGCATTCGACAAGTTGAACCATGCTATTGCGATTGCTAAACTCGGCAGACTCGGTGTATGCGGTAATCTTCTGAGTTGGTTTCGATCATATCTTACCGGTCGGCAAATAAAAGTTACCATAGGAGATTGCAGATCAGCTAGCTTCTTCGCCACATCAGGTATACCTCCGGGAAGCCACATGGGACCGGTAATTTTTATACTGTACTTCAACGACGTGCATCTGGTCATCGAAGCTCTTCGGTTATCATATGCAGATGACCTCAAAATCTTCCTACGAATCTGCTCCATTGCTAACTGCCACTTTCTTCAACGTCAACTGAATGTATTCGCTAGTTGGTGCAGGTTAAACAGAATGGTAGTGAACCCAGCCAAATGCTCCGCTATTACGTTCTCACGAAAACAACAACCGATAATATTTAGCTACGACCTGCTTGGCTCGACAATCGAACGCGTGAATCAGGTGAAAGACTTGGGTGTGATCTTGGATTCGCAGCTTTCATTCAAGCAACACATTGCATATGTTGTTGATAAGGCGTCAAGAACTTTAGGGTTCATTTTTAGGATAGCTAAAAACTTCACTGATATCTACTGTCTAAAATCTCTCTATTGTTCGCTTGTTCGATCGACGCTTGAGTATTGTTCAGCGGTTTGGAACCCAAACTACAACAACGGTGCCGAGAGAATTGAATCTGTTCAACGTCGCTTTCTTCGTTTTGCGTTGCGTAGATTGCCTTGGAATGATCCGTTTCGATTACCCAGTTACGAAAGCCGTTGTCAACTTATCGACCTAGAACTTCTCCGGACTAGAAGAGACACAAGCAGAGCCCTAACCGTGGCCGATATCCTACAAGGAAGGACAGATTGTGAGGCTATCCTGAGGCAAATTGACCTGAATGTTCAACCCCGACCGCTTCGTAATAAACTTATGCTAAGACTGCTTCTACGTCGCACAAATTATGGAGCGTACGGTGCGATTTGCGGACTGCAGAGAACATTCAACAGAGTTGCATCTGTTTTCGACTTTCATCTCTCCCGTGATGCGCTTCGTCGAAAGTTTTCTTCTGTTTTTCGCCGGCAGGAGTTAAGATATTGACTATAAGATATACGTTTTTTAATTTTTTTTATGTTATGACCATGCTTGAATGTATTTTATTTTTAGCGGAGCCTCCACAGACAGAGTGCCTGGCGTTATGCAGTTATTGATCGAGTGGGATGCAGATGACTTGTATGCACAGCATAGGACAACCAGGACCTGAATGGTAAGTTGAGGACGACATGAGGAGCGAATTTATCCAGCGGCGAATTGTACGTTTGACGTGGATTCAACGAATTATAGCCCATCAAGTCATATAAAATCACTTTGAGCTTGAAAATTACAAAAGCTTCCAGCGATTGGCGCCCTCCAACGGCGATGTCCGGTGATCAGATAACCAGAATCATTGGAAGTGTTCTTCCACTGACTTTCAATGGACATGGATGAGGTGCATCGTTTTCGATATGAAATTACAAAACTGGTCACAACTTACCTCACACATCTTCTCGATCATCGATTCATCATGCGGGACCTTCCCGTCCACTCGTTCGTCCGCCCGGTTCCCACTCATCCGCAGCACCAGCGAAAACAACCGTTGATCCCACCGGAACGGTTCCTTCGTGAGCTTAGTGCCGGGGATTTGAGCATGCAGCGGTAGGATGATCTCCTGATGTACGCCATTCCTAAACGAATACTTTCCGCCGTCGGTCAGCACGATGATGACCGACGGTTCCAAATAGAACGGACACCGACCCTGTCCGTACGTATCGATGCCACTTTGCATCCGGTTCAGATTTAGCAAATCGAACGCATTCTTCAACGCTTCACCCATCGAGGTGAGCCCATTACTCTGCAGGTTCTTCAACTCGTTCATAAACGTCGCGTGATTCTCCTTCCAACCGGCTTTCACATTGTTCGGTGGATCCTCGAACGTCAGCAGCATGTACCGATCGCCCATGCAGTCCTGTGACCTCTGTCGGTACTTGAGAAACGTCTCCACCGCGCCCTTTGCAATGTCCAGATAGCTCTTCTGGACGCCATTGACGTGCGCTTTCTGGCACATGGACGCCGACGTGTCCACCAAGAACAGGATGATGGTCATTTCACGACGTCGCTCGTGCTACTAGCCCTGGCGGTATTGCTGCTAATGCAAATGCTTCTATTGTTTCTGTTGTCGTTATTCTAATTATTGTTGTTGCTGCTGTTGTAGTAGAAGGCACAGCGCAGGATAACTGTAAAATCATTCCTTCCGCACGATACAAGATCCGTCACGGTTGCCAATTCCGGTGCTACTGCTGCCGATTGCGGACATGTAACCAAGATCGGTTAGCTGGCTTGCTGGATATTTTTGGCAAAGCTTGACCCGGTAGGCAATAATCTGGAAATAAACAGTTAAGAAATGCCATCAATGAACGTCCGACCAAGAATGGTATGAATTGTTAGAAGCAACCTGAAAACGATCACGGCGCAATCGACAGGCATATTGAAATTAGCGTGCCACGAATGAAGAAGAAATGTGTAAAACAATAAACATCAACATATCTCCCTCCAGCAGCGCTCCAAAACGGGAGAACGAACGAAATTAGTCGCGCTGCGCTTCCACCGACCAACCGTAATTCACCTATACCATACAACGTCTACATTGACCATATACGCACTAAGTACCATTCACCATCGGAGGAGATACTTTACTACTATAAGCTCGCTGTGCCTGCCTGCTGCAATTTGACAGACAAACTTTCATTCTTTATCACTCTGGCATTTTTCAACCGCTCCTCATTTTTTATCATTTCCCTTCTTCACACTCTCTTCTACATCTTGCTTTTGCCTTCGGTACACGTGTTGCTCCACTTCTTCTCTTTACATCTAGTCAAACTTCTTTCTGCAAGCGAACAGCTCAGCAGTGTGCAGAAGGTGCAAGAACCCACCGATGACGATGACACGCTGCTGTCCCAATTCAATTACATAAGGTTGCAAAGCAATTAGCATTAGCTATTCAGCGTCCCCTGTATAGTAAAGCTTCGTATCGTTCCATGCAAAATTATCCAATTGAAAAAAAAAAGTTGCAACCAAATCGTCATCCCTATCAAAGGTACAACATATCAGCAGCTCTCGATACTCTTCTCTGCTCAGGTTGCCATCCCCTTTTATATTCTTTCGTATTTATGAACAACACTTGGCCTGCTGCAATCGTGTCTCCTCTCTCATTACTCATTTACGCTTTTTTTCCCCTGCTCAGTGCTTAGTTTGAACCGTTCAAACCCATAGATACACGTCAGTGCAGTGTTGTGCCGATTCACACGAGTTTGTTTACATTTTCATTCTCTTTCATAGCAGTTCAACACGCCCGAAAGAGAAACTAAGGTGGTGTGGGTATTTGAATCGCCGTTTCGCCGCTATCCTGAAAGTCATTCGAAATGCTCTTAGTAGACTTCCAAGTTATCCTAGAAGTGCTGTGAACAGCTGGAAGTGCTTTGAATAGTCTCCCTAACCACGAGGTTTTCCGTTGTTTTGAGATGCAAAAAATGAGTTTTTGACAAAAGTGCTGGAACAAAAGATGTTTCATGTACAATGTACAATCAATGAAGAAAACCAAATTCCCTGATATTCCCGGATTTTCCACTAATTGGGTTGTTTAGGGGTATTGAGGTAAATACATATTCATTATCTGCATTAAAAATGGAACCGAAATCCAAAATTTCATCAATTTTGGTACACTGGAACTATTTTAAATAAGTACGATTACATTAGCAAAAATCACCATCTTAGCGCCCCTTGGTGGGACTTTGTATGGAAGCGAACTGTCACGAATAGATTTAGTGTCAACGATCAAAAATTTAAATATTGATTTAAAAATCGAGATGAATGTCTACAGGATCGATAAAAATATCGTTGTGCTCAGAAAACAAAGCTGATGATGTATAAAAATCGGTATATTTTTCGAAGTTAAACAACCCAATTAAAAAAAATCCAGGTGTGGTTCCTACCCGGTTTTGGCAATCCTATCAGCTATTACTTTCCTCAGTTACTAGTGCTTTCTGGACATTTTTTCATGAAATACCACATAGACCTCTAACCCATGAAGAGTGATCCTATACAAGTTGAATAAAGCGCTCGATCAAGGGGTAATCAACTCTGCACACTGTGCCGAAACACAGCATGGCAACAACAAGGTCTGGCGTCTTACGAGCTGTCCGAAGGGAGTGAAGCCTCTGAAATCGAAATGGGAGTTTCAGCTGAAGGACGATTCGACCGGCAATGCGGTCAAACATAAGGCGAGACTGGTGGTGAAAGGATTCCTGCAGAAGGCTGGAGTCGATTACGAGGAGACATTCGCTCCTGTTGCAAAACTGGCCACCATCAGGACGGTTCTCGCGATCGGAGTGCAACAGTGTTTCCACTTCCATCAAATGGACGTCAAGACGGCGTTTTTGCACGGCGACCTGAAAGAGGAATTGTACATGGCGGTTACCGGCGGTGTTGCAGCGTCCCCTAATACAGTGTGTCGCTTACTCAAGTCCCTGTACGGCCTCAAGCAATCCCCAAGGTGCTGGAACGAAAAGTTCAACGATCGGTTGCTGAGTTTGGGATTTCGTCGATCGCTGCACGACTACTGCCTCTACGTGCGGGTGATACCAGGAGACGAAATTTATATCATTCTGTATGTGGACGATTTGCTCATCGCTGGGAGGAAGATTGAAACGATTGTGAATCTGAAGAAAGCCCTGAGTTCGACGTTCAAGATGACGGACTGCGGTGAGATCAGTCATTTCCTAGGTATGAAACTAGAAAACGACCGTGCGACGAATTCCATGAAACTCTCTCAAGAAACGAATATCGAAAAAATATTGATACGCTTTAAGATGACGGATTGTAACCCGACCAAGCCGCCTATGGAGAAGAACCTGGTTGTTTCCCGTGATGGTGAGTCAACCCAAGAACCGTACCGTGAGCTGCTGGGCACAATTATGTACGTAATGCTGTGCACCTGATTTGTGTTTCCCTGTCGGATTTCTGGGCCGTTACCAACAGAACCCAACAGTTAACCATTGGCAATGCCTCAAGCGTATAGTACGGTATTTGAAAGGGACGAAAACGAAGCACCTGAAGTTTGTACGTGACGAATCAGCGGAAGCGTTGGTCGGATATGCTGACGCCGACTGGGCTTCGGATGCGGAAGACAGGAAGTCAGTCAGCGGCCACCTGTTCACGGTATTTGGTAATCCTGTATCGTGGTCGAGCAAAAATCAGGTTACCGTTGCTACATCCTCGAGTGAAGCGGAGTTCTGCTGTTTCGGAAGCGATCTGGTTGTCCGGAGTGATGGAAGATCTTCAATTCAAGCAGCCTGCGGATCCGGTCGTAATATTTGAGGACAATCAAGGAGCGATAGGTATGGCGAAGAATTGTGAAAGCAAGAGAAGCAAGCATATATATATATAAAGCACCACTTCATCCGGGACCACATTGCGAATGGACGTGTAGCGGTGAAGTATACTACTGGCGGATTTGTTTACCAAACCGGTGGAGGCGGTGCGCATGGAGAAGCTGTGCCAAGGCCTTGGAATGGCCGATTCAGAGGGGGTGTTGGCGTAGTAGGCAATCAGCCGTCGCTTTCCCCTGTTACGTTGTTGGGAAGCCCTCCCTGGCAACGACCCGTTACCTGTTTGTGAAAATTAATAACTGTTCATTCCACAATCACACTTCGTGTAGTACAGACGTTTAAATAAACTTTTCTCCGTTTTTCCTGTTAAACCGTATGCTTCGTTTGGAGTCTCCCGTTTGTCCCTTCAAGAATATACAATTTGTAGTAACAATTTGGGATTTATGCGGGTTCTGTAGACCATGATTTAGACTTGTAGAATGCTTTAAAACCGCGATAAAACTTGCAATGTTACTTGGGCTGAGCTGTGTCGACTTTTCACCAAACAAAGGGCATTCGCTAACTAAAATACATATCATGTGTCAAACCAGATAACAAAAAATATTAAAAATACATTAGTGCTCTTCCGGTTTATGTCAACAAATTGAAATTAAAGTGTGACAGATACATATCCATTAACTGAGCATTTGTAGTACAAGGTTTTTGACTTAGCTAACGTCTACTGTATTCAAGCAGCATAAGGCCAATTTCTTGACCTCCGCTCAAGCCTTTTTTACTAGTTCGTTCTAGGCTCAAGCCTTAATCCTGGTTTAACTAAATGGGTACATTGGTCCTTAGCGATATTCGCATTTATATGTCATTAACACTCCGAACACGAGGCCTTCGGTAGAATGTGTAAAGGAAAACTTGCAATGTTTGAATGGATGAATTTTACACTCGATCATTTTCAAATGTTACAAAAAATGAACAGTTAACTATTGGTTCCGTAAAGCAAATTCAATTGAATTTTCCAAATAAACGAACTAGCTATTAAAAAAGTTTTAACATGTTTGGAAATGCTGTTTTAAAATAATATTGCGCATTTAAGGGTTAAGATGTTTCATCTGCTCGTCGAGTAATGATGCTTCTTTTTGAGCAGTTGCAAGTATTTTTGCTTTTAACATTTTGAGCAACTTTTCGTTTTCTTTCAGGTGCTGTCCCTATCGATAGTATCCTGTTTCTTCCTGTTGATAGCTTCCTTGTAACGATCGTAGGGATTTTTGGCAAATTGCACAAGACTTTTCGTGATTTCGACTTTTGTCACGCCTCCAGCATTCAATATTGCATTATGAACAATGCACTGAGCCACAAGACTTTCTTCTGTCATGGTTGATCACTAGACTGATGCAAAATTTGACTTTTTTGCTCCACAATGCTTAAATGGTTTCAAATCGGGTCCTGATTAGCCTCCCAAAGTTACAACTCAATTGGTTAGAAATAGGCTTTGCACAAGCCATTTGAAGTTTACATGTAAATTAATATGGGAAATCTCAACTTTCTGTTCATTGCCTTCTAGCCTTTTTCCATATTGAGCTACGAAACCATTCGAGCCATTCTTATAGAAAACTTTCTCAGCTACAACTTTGCTGAAAATTGTTTCTATGTAAAACGAGGCAGGAAAAAGCTATTAATTATTTAAGAGATTGATAAACTTATGACATGATCAAGCAACTGCTCTGTAGGCAACACTGTATTTTGCAGTGTGACATAGTAGCCATGATTTTTGTGTCCTATTCAACGCCCCAGAAACACCAATGTTGCCTGCTGAGCAGTTGATTGAGCATGATCATAAGACATCAGCGCATTGAACCATTGATAACTTTCGATCCTTGCATTTAATCTAAAAGTTGTCTTCAGCAAAGTTGTAGCTGGAAATATTTCCTACAAGTACAGTTGAAAGTTTTTGAAGCAGACCGATATGGTGAATTATTAGATAGACATGAACAAAAATCTTGGT